GTTTTCCTAATATGAGTATTCACTGCTATGAATTTCCCTCATAAGACTGCTTTCATTGTGTCCCATAGATTCCGATATGTTGTATTGACATTGTCTTTAATTGTAGGAACTGTCTGATATCTTTAATTTGCTCTGTGACCCATTGGTTATTCAGCAGTGTGTTGCTCAATTTCCTTGTGTTTATGAAATTCTTGAGGTTTCTTTTGCTATTGATCTCCAGTTTCATTGCACAATGGTCTGATAATATACAGTGAATAACTTCAATTCCTTTCACTTACTTAAACATGTTCTATGAGTGAGTATGTGGTCTATTTTCGAGAACAACCCATGTGCACTGTATTTATAATATATATTTGTCTGTAGTTTTCTTTTATTGTGATGCCTTTTATATTGTAAAATATGTCACCACATCTCAAAAGTAGTCTTTTGTGCCTTTAGTTTTTTATTTGTTTTGTAACTTTTCCCTGATTTTCCTTAACACATAATTGTGATCAAACTAACTTGGTTCCATTCATAATCAGAAGGGATTTCCAACTGGGTTTAGCAAGGTCGGGGAGAAGAGGGACATGAATGGTGTATGAGATGAATTTTAAAATAGGACAGGTGTATCACAGAGCTGTTGTGTGTAGGAGGAAAAAAACTGCTGAATGACAATCTCTTACATCTGGGAAAATCTTTGATATCTCAAATCAAAATGAAGACACTAAAGAGAAAACTGGATGCGAGAGATCTTTAATAACTCCACCCACTTCCCAAGACTGCCACTATAAAATTGTATGTTTTAAATGAGTGAATTGTATGGTATGTAAACTATATTTCAGTGAAAGTTTTATATAAAAGTTATATTCATAATATAAAGAATTGAAATTATACAGAAGTACATAAGTAAGAAATGGAAGTCCCTCCCCTCCCTGTACTGCCATTCTGCAGAGGAAGAGAGCTACCACTAGTAATTTGGTGGATGTCCTTCTATGCTTTTCTTTGGACAAAATGTATAGATGTATGTGATATATGTGTATATGTGTATATATCAAGTGGATGCATACTACGTTTTATTTTTTCACTTCATATCTTATGGACAGCTTTTTGTGTCAGTGTATGTTTCCCCACATTCCTCCTGAGGTGTCTCTGGCAGGCTATGTTGTTAATATACATTTGTCTTCAGCTCCTATGTCCTTTAGGCTGCTTTTACAGGACCTTTCCTTTCTCTCCAGAAACAAGAGCGGCATGGGGAACAAAGCCCTGTCCCATGAGAGCATCTTCATGTTGGATACTGAGCCTGAAAGATCAGCAAATGAAATGTACCCTTCTACAGAGTTCCAGAGGGGCAGAACTCTGCGGGTAATAGTGGACTTGAATTATCAGTGTCTAATTAGAATACTTCTCTTCTTCCATTCCCTGTTCTTACCCTGCCCCCTAAGAAGTGTGTGTGCTTCTTAGCTGATTCCACTCTACAAGACTATTGTTAGCAATGAAAAACAAATATAACTTACCTATTCCCCAGCACACAGTGTTGGCTGGTATTACCATATTTACTTTTCTTATATCCCAATAATACTTTCATTATTTTGGCAGTGACATACACTGTTTGTGTTTTAGCACATCAACCTCTGAGTTTGTCTCTCTCTTCTACAGAGATCTCAGCCCTTCAAAACTCTGCCTAGAAGTGGAGCTGTGCCTGGAACTATGCCCAGAAGTGGAGTCTGGGTGGCAGGTTCCAAGATCACTGAGGTAATGAGTGGAATTGTTCAGAGCATGGGACAGCTAAGTCAGACAGATCTGTGCTTGCATTTTCTGCCACTTCCTGACACGTGACCCTGGGTTAGTTGTTTAACCTCACTTGAGACTTCTTTTCCTTATCTACAATTAATTTGATATTAATATTTATCTCAGGGAGTTGTTTGTGAGGTTTGCATGAAGACTCAGGAAGGTTAAAAAAGTCATTTAGACTCACCCAGGCAATAAGTTATAGACTTGGAAATCTGACACAGATATGTTAACCTCAAAATGCATGGTCTTTTCATTAGTCCATTTTCTAAAATGCTCAAATCTTTTGTCTTTGCCTAGACAAGGCACATTTTTAACCCCAATAAAATATAGTATGGACATAGGATAATGTCTTACCACCAGCTAATTATAAACTATATTTTTTGGTTTTTTGTGGTTTGTTTTTTTGAGACAGGGTCTTACTGTGCAGTCCAGGCTCTCCCTGAACTCACTATGTAGCCCAGGCTGGCCTCGAACTCATGGCAATCCTCCTGCCTCAGCCTCCCAAGTGCTGGGATTACAGGCATGTGCCACTGCACCCAGCTATTATAAACTATAGAAGACAGCCATTGCTCACCCAGACTCCTCTGGAGCTCTGTACTGGAAATGCTTCAATAGAGCTGGAGACATTGCCAGGGAGTTGACCCTTCCCAGCTGCCTCTTCCTTCTTTAAGCCCTGTGTAACTGGGGAAACCATACAAGGAGGAGAACTTCTCCACTGGAAAGCTGATTGTTTTGCATTTGGCAAAATGTAAGTGGGAGGATTGGGGGTTTAGCTCAGTGTAGAGCACTTGCTTACATACGGGAGGCCCTGGATTCAATCCCCAGTACCTCAGAAACCATAAAAAAGTAAGTGGGGCTTATTTCTGACATGGCTGCTAAATACCACACATACCTGCTCTGGTGTCTGCACAGCAACCTCTGTTAATCCAGGCATGGTGGCACATGCCTGTAGTACCAGCAGTCTGAGAGGTTGAGGCAGGAAAATTCCAAGTTCAAGCCCAGCCTGGGCAATTTAGTGACTTACTGTATTAAGACTCTGTATCATAATAAAAAAACAAAAGGGCTGAGAATGTAGCTCAGTGTAAACACACTGGGTTCAGTCCCTAGTACTGTAAAACAAAATAAAACTAAGAAATACCAAGACTGAGCCAGTTTTACTCCCTGCCAGATAGTTACCTTTGAAGTGTTAGGAATGTGGGTACCTAGATTACTAAGACATTTTATCTTCTCTTTACTTGAGCACACATAATTAAGAAGATGTGACAGCATATTATTAGCATTTTCCTGCTGTTGAATCAAATTAAATTCAGTTATTTAAAAAAACAAGACTGCAAAACAGTTTTTCCTTATAATTCTCAGGCCCAACTCTCCCTCTGCTGCTCTTCTTAAGAAAGTAGGCATACCGTCTGTTCTGATTGTGCCTTTAAATTGCCTGAACTTGACCTTCAGTATGAGACCTCTCCTCCCTGGAGACAAGAGAACACAGTGGTTAAGAACGCAGCCTTTTAAGCTGTGTAGACCTTTAAAATGCTTGCCCTGCCACTAAGAGAACTAGCGCCAGCCATATCTGTTATTAGGACTGAGTTTGAGGATGGTTGATCTGGCCTCTTCCCACGAGCTCCTGACAGAGTCTCATTGTTGTAGGGCCATTTTTTTGGACTCAGGTGTAACATATTATAAATGCCTATCCAATATTTGTTAAGGATAAAATCAGGATTCTGATCCACATCAAGAAGACCATGGCAAGGACCAATGTCTCCAAGTCAAGTTTACCATGATCTTTAAACTTAGAATTAACTAAGCTAGTCTACTGAGCTCCAAAGAAAACCCAAATGGCAAATTTTTATCCTTTCAGGAAACCAAAACTAGATCCATAGCTGGCTGCCTTCCTTCCTTCCTTCCTTCCTTCCTTCCTTCCTTCCTTCCTTCCTTCCTTCCTTCCTAAATTAGTCTGCTAAATCCCCAAAAGATCCTAATGACCAAGTTTCATCTCCTTAGGAAACCAGGACTAGATTTGTCTTCTCTTCTCTCCTCTCCTCCC